GGAAAAGTCAAGCTTGTTAGGGCCAAGGCTCACGTATCATTCTGAAAAGCCCTTAGGAATTCTACTCTGCCCGTGCTATAAATAGAACAGCAAAGTCTGGATGACAGCACATCTGTTTATAATATGGCTTACTGAATATTTTAAGCCCACTGTTGAGACGTAGTGCTTGCTTTTAAAATATCACTGCTTAGTGACAAAGCACCCGTGAGCTCTGATGGAGATGTACAATGAGCTAATGTCTCATGCCTGCTAACACAACATCCATTCCGTAGCCTATGGATCAAGGAATAATTTTGATATTCAAGCATTATTTTTAAGAAATACCATCCTGTAAAACCAGACAGAGCTGCCACAGTGATTTTTCTGATGGATCTGGGCAAAATAAATAGAAACCTTCTGGAAAGGATTCACCATGACTTTGAAGGGTTCAAGACTTCCTTGGAGAAAGTAACTGCAGATGTGGTGGGAATGACAACAGAACTGGAGGTGGGGCTAGAAGATATGAATGAATTGCTACAAGCTCATGATAAAACTTGAATGGAATGGATGAGGAGTTGCTTTATATGGATGAACAAAGAAAGTAGTTTACTGAGATGGAATCCAAAATTTAGAAAATATAAAAACACTGTATTTAACTATCCTGGAATTAAAATTTTTAAAAATTCAAAACATGGCCACCTGGGTGGCTCAGGTGAGCATCCGACTCTTGATTTCAGCTCAGGTCATGATCTCACAGCTCATGGGCTCTGCACTGATAGAGCAGAGCCTACCCGGGATTCTTTCTCTCCCTCTCTCTGCCTTCCCCCACACATGCATTCATTCTCTCTCAAAATAAAATAAAATAAAATAAAATAAATTCAAACAGGGGCACCTGGGTGGCTCAGTCGGTTTAGCATCTGACTACAGCTCAGGTCATGATCTCACGGTTCGTGGGTTTGAGCCCCATGTCATGCTCTGTGCTGACAGCTCAGAGCCTGAAGCTTGCTTCCGATTCTGTGTCTCTCTCTCTCTCTGCCCCTCTCCTGTTCATGCTCTGTCTCTCTGTCTCTCAAGGATAAATAAACATTAAAAATTTAAAAAAAAATCAAAGAGATGAAATCTACTCCTGGTGAAGATGTTAAGACTGTGGAAATTACAACAAAAAATTTAGAATATTACATACGCTTAGCTGATAAAGCAGCAAAAGGGTTTGAGAGGACTGACTCCAGTTCTGAAAGAAGTTCCACTGTGGGTAAAATGCTATTAAACAGTATCACATGCTATAGAGAAATCACTCATGAACAGAAGAGTGAACCAATGCAGCAAGCTTTGTTGTTGTCTTATTTTATGAAACTGCCACAGCCACTCACCTTACAAACCACCCTGGGCAGTCAGCAGCCATGAACATCAAGACAAGACCCTTCACCAACAAAAACATGACTGGCTGCAATTTCAGATGACAGCAGCGAACTATTTTTAAATCAGCTACATTGTTTTTGACACACCATGCTATGACAGACTTAATAGACTACAATAATGCAAACATAACTTACGTGCACCAGGAAAACAAAAAATTCATCTGACTTGCTTTATTGTGATGTTTCTACACTGCAGTGGTCTGGAACCAAACCAGCAATACCTCCAAGGTATGCCTATAGAATGCCAGAAGCCGGGGTGTGGAGGACACGGGGAGATGTTGGTCAAATGGTACAAACATTCAGTAATAAGATGAAAAGTTCTGAAAATGTAACATACAGCATGGTGACTGCAGTTAATAATGATGCTGTATACTTGAAATTTACTGAAAGTACTAAAAGTAGATCTTAGGCATTCATACATAAAAATAATGTAATAATTTTATAAGAATGGATATTTAATTAACTTCAATTGTGGAAATTATATCACAGTGTATACATATATCAAATCACTACAGTGTACACTTGAATATATATAAATTTGTATCTCCAGAAGGCTGGGGGGAAAAAGAAAATACACCTAAAGTACAAACCTTGCAGGAGTCTGTTGAAAAGTAGCCTGTGATTCAGCTAAGTAGTCTGACAATGTCTGCAAACCCAGCACAAGGAGACAGGAAGACATGTCAGCTAAAAGAAGGGATCAAAACCTGGGAAACAGTGGAGCCTGGCTGGCTCACTTAGTAGAGCATGCAATTCTTCTTTTTTTTTTTTCCCCGACGTTTATTTATTTTTGGGACAGAGAGAGACAGAGCATGAACGGGGGAGGGGCAGAGAGAGAGGGAGACACAGAATCGGAAACAGGCTCCAGGCTCTGAGCCATCAGCCCAGAGCCTGACGCGGGGCTCGAACTCACGGACCGTGAGATCGTGACCTGGCTGAAGTCGGACGCTTAACCGACTGCGCCACCCAGGCGCCCCGAGCATGTAATTCTTGATCTCAGAATTCTAAGTTCAAGACCTAAGGCTGTAGAGCTAACTTTAAACAAACAAAACCCCTGGGATACAGAAGTGACATGGATCTGTACTCACTGACCCAAACGAAGAGAGCAAGCATGGTGGAATCCATTACAGTCACTAAAAATCGACTAATTTTGAATCCTTCCCTATGAGGGTTTTAGTATAGCAGGTACTGAGGCTGCAGGGCGGGGAGAAGAGGGCAGTGCAAACAAACCAGCCCTATCGACATGGCAACTACCCAGAAAGCTGAGAACCCACAGTGCCCATGGTCCACATGTAAGAGAGACTGAGAAGGGATGGGTTGGGGGAGAACAGGACCTAGTTCAGGCCACTGGGGAGGGAGAGGGCCTTACCCAGTGAGGATATAAGTGCAAAGTTCTCCAGCATCACATCGTGGTACAGGCATCTCTGAGCCTCATCAAGGAGCCTCCACTCCTCCCAGGAGAAGTACACAGCAACATCCTCAAAGGACACACTATCCTGTTACGATGGGGACAGATGAAACCATGAACATTCTGAGATCCCACAATCCATCTCACCATACATCTACCCCACACTCCTCCTCCTCCAGAGCTCCCCACTCCAAGAATTCCAGGCCTATGTGCCACTAGCACCGCCCCCCTCCCCCCCCCCCCCCCCCCCCCCCCCCCCCATCCTCAGGGTCTCTTTATTCACTGAGTTCAGCCCTCAGCAACATCAGGCAGGGAGACAGAGATGTCATCCAAATTCATCCTGGCCTGTAGGGTCCCAACCATACAATTCCCTAGGGCCTCCATTTTGGGACTCCCAAGACACACTGAAATGTGGGCTCATGCTGTACCCTTCAGCCTCCAATACCAGGGCCCTGTGGCCCTGAGCACACACTTCCTCTTGATGTGCACACTGCTCTGCAGACTCTCCTCTCTCACATCTCCAGTCCCTACAGCTGCACTACCACAAACTCTACTTTGGGCAAAGCCCTGAATTCTGCTTTGAAGTCCTCTCTGTGCCTCTGATCTTTGCTTCAGTGTCAGCCGCCCAGAAGCACATATGCATTAGATGGCTATGGCCCACTTCCACTTCTGTGCTGGACCTGCTGTCGTCTCAGTGGTCACAACTCCCCACCTCTCCACTCAACCTTCCTTAAAACCCCAGCCAGGCATGATGACTCTCACAAAGGACTACATTTACCAGATCTTATCCACCAGCAAGACCCGAACACCCCAGACCCCATCAAAGCCCCCCCAAAATTCTGGTGAATCCATACAGTGGTGAATTAGCAGGAGCCCTACCTTCAGTGTCATCTTGCCTCAATTACTCCTCCGAAGCCATCTTGCAGCCACTTGTGCCATGGAAGCTTTAGCCTCCCTGATCATCCTCTCTCCCACACATTCACACCATCATTTCTCCCTGTCGCCTGTGTTTCTCATACTTAGGATGTCAACCAGGAGCTAAGCAAGAGAAGCACCTCTCAGCATGCACCCTAGTCTTTCTGACCAGCTAACAGCATTACCACTATAACCTACATTACACACTTGCTAAAGTGTGACCCACAGTTCCATCCTGGTCCGATAGCCACCGTTTTTGAAAGTCTGCCCCAGAACTATGCACCATCAAGACTGAACACCACAAACCCCACCGAAGCTCACCACAAAATTCCCGTGAAACTGCAATAGCGAGTAAGCAGGAGCCTGGCCTCAGTGTCCTCTTGTCTCAATTACTCCCGTGCCTCCACGGCCTCCACTCCACAGGAGCCTTCATCACCTGCCAGATCATCCTCTTTCCCATGTGTTCCCCACCATCACGTCTCTGCTTCACCCGTGTTTGTGTGCCCAGCAATCCTGATCAGGTGCACAGCAAGAAAATCACTCCTCATCATGCACCTCCCTCTATTTGGCCAGCTAAGGCACTGTCACAATGACCTGCATTCCCCAACCTAAACATAGTCCACAGCTCCTCTCTGGTCTACACAACAGCCACCACTTCTGGATGTCTTCATCCTGTACCTCCTCCCCAAATCTCCAGACCGGCAAATCCAGCTACTCACTTGCTGTCTCCACGAGCTGTGCCCTGAAATATCTCCTAACAGGACTCGTAACAGGACCAAACGAAACTCCTGGCAGTCCCAAAGAAAATTAACCTACCGTCAGCCTCCCCACCCCAGGTGATGAAACTTCCATCCCTTCAGCTGCTAGGACTAAAATCCCTGGGGTCATCCCTGACTTTTTTCTCTCCCTCACCTACAACATCAAAAAATCTACTTTACCCTTCTTTTAAAAATGGAAGAGTCCAACTTTTCACCTACCCCTATGGCCATTGCTTTGGTTCATCAGCACTCATTTGGATTGCAGCAGCTGCCTCCTCCCGGGCTCCCTGCCTCCTCCCCTACCCCCAAGGTCTGTTATCTTTTCTACAACCGGAAAGAGCCCATTAAGACTTCGGTAAGACCAGCCCCTCCCCCTCTTATCCAAGCCTCTCACTGCCTCCAAAAGAGGTGCCCAAATTCTCAACAGCCACATTACAGGCCTGATCCTTGACCCTCTGCTTTGTTCCCGACAGGGAGAATGGACGCAGGTCGTACCTGTCCAAGCATTTGCACACTCTGATATCTATTTCTGGGATAGCTTCTCACACCTGTTTATATGTAACCCTTGGCCTGCACTCAGGAGCCTCCGCTTGGGGTATCCTCAGGGACCCCACACCCAGCCGTTGGAAAAATAGCAAGGGAAAGGGCTCAAGACACCACAATCCTGGACGCCGTACTGGCGATGTCAAGATCAGTGAGGGACTTGCGCAGGTGCCATATGAGCTTTCACAACCTTCAGAACTTGTGGTTGAGTGAAGGCAACCAGGGCTGGGCTCTACCAGGTCAGGCCTCCCCTGCATCCCGCCCGGCCCTGGAACCCAGGGACCTCGGGATGACCAACCTCGGCGCCTCAGTCCTCCTACCAGCTCTGTGACCTTCGACAAGAACTGCACTCCCGGGGCCTCCTTGTCTTCATCACCCCCTTTCACCTCTCTCTTGAGAAGCTTTCGGAAAGCTATTCACACCCAAACACGGACCGTGTCCCTCTTCGGTTCACGACCCTCCAGCGCCCTCAGAACGGAGGTACCACACCCCAGCTCGCCAGTCCCCCCATGATCCCGCCGCACACCCTGTGTCCCTGAGGGCAGACCCCACACCCCCGAATCCTCCCCCTCGGCGCCCCCTGCAGCTCGCTCCCGCACCCCATCACGCCGGCGCTCAGACACGGGGCCCCGCCCACGAGCGCCTCCCCGGCCCGGACACCGGACCTGGGCCGCAGGGACACGAGCAGGTGCCCCGCGCTCGGGCCTCGGGAGTCTGGGTGGGGGAGGGTCCGGGGGCGTCGCGTTTACCTGAGCCGGGTGCCTGCGCGCGGCCGCCGCCATCGGACTCTGTGGGCGGAGCGGGGCCCAGAGCGGCGAAAGAGGAGCAGACACCCGCCGCGGGACAGATCGAGCGGCGTCGTCGCCGAGCCGCGGACCCGCCTCTCCGCCGTGGGGACAACGACTCCTGAGCCTTGACAGTTCCGTCACTTCGGTCCCGCCCCGGCACGCCCGAGAGCAGCAAAATGGCCGCCACAAGGAGGAGGCCGGAAGTCCCGCCCCTACGGGATGAATTCCCGCGGAAACGCTTCCATTGGCTCAATTCCGCGCACGGTCTTCTGGAAAATGTAGTTGGCGGATCCCTAGAGGCAGCAGCCAGGGTTTTCTCCATTCTGATCTGAGCATTGGCCAGGCTGCTCTCCAAGGGATGCTGGAAACCTAGAGGGAGAAGGAGTTTGCTCCTTGTGAACTGCGATGAACAGGCATAATTTCATACTCTGTGATTGCCAGCCTCTTCCCAGAAATGAGATGTTCCCAAATCCAGTGATCTAAATGGTCCTATCATTCCATAGAACCATTCAGACATAAAATAATCCACGCATAGCTGAAGGCAGTATGTTACTCCTCTTCAAATGAATGTAGCTGATGCTTTTGTCATCACTTTGTGAGTTCTATTATGATTGACTAAGAGCAAGGGAAAAAACTTTACACAGGGCCGTGACTGGGACTAAAGAGAGATGTTAGGCCAGAATAAACAGGATCTCTGCCTCTGGCTCCCACAGAAAATTTGTTCCTTGCCTGTAAGGTCAGTGATTGTGTCCTGCCCATTTTTAACTACCTAGTATTCTTACTCAGTGTTCTAAGATACACTCAATTCTATTTTGCAAAGTGACATCTACCTCAAACAAAGACCAACCTTAGTGCTATTTTAGTTTGGGTCAGTGGCTACAACTTTAACAGTTGCAGAATGTCTGATGCAGAGTATCTGAACCTCCAGATAAAGGGTGTAATTGACCCCCATGATGTCATGTCCTGACTGGTAAGTGACTATGATATTCCAGTGATTGCAGGTACAGTTGTGCATGGGGAACTGAGATTATTTCAGAAGAGTAGTTTGGAAATGCAAATTCAGAAAATTAGTAATAATGTTTTTGTTCTTTTTTTTTTTTTTTTTTTTTTTTTTTTTTTTTTTTAAGGTTCTCTTTTAAGTAATCTCCATATACAACTTGGGGCTCAAACTCACAGCCCTGAGATCAAGAGTCACATGCTCTTCTGACTGAGCCAGCCAGGTGCCCCAGTAATAATGTTTTTGCAGTTTAGAGATAGTGTTAGAAATAGCTCTGGGAAAATACCAGGGGATGCTGAAGAAAGTTAAGATGTTAGAGAATTTTTAGCAGAGCTATTTTTCTTGAAAATATTAAGCAATACCACCTTGGAGGGAAGAAAAGAAGTGAACATTTATAGTAGCCAGATTACTAAAAATGGACAAGAAACTGAGGTGTTCTGTTTATTCACAGCTCTACCGCTGTACACTGAGCAAATACTCAGTTGCAGGCACTTAGGCACTTTTGTAATGTGAATGGAAACATTAGGGGATGCATGGGTGGCTCAGTCGGTTAAGCGTCAGACTCTTGATTTTGGCTTAGGTCATGATCTCACCATTTGCAAGTTCAAGCCTCACTTTGGACTCTCTGCTGTTAGTGCAGAGCCCGCTTCAGATCTTCTGTCCCCGACTCTCTCTCTGCCCTTCCCCCAGTTGCTTGTTCTCTGTCTCAAAAATAAACATTTTAAAAAAGGTTAAAAAAAAAGAAACATTAGAACACTGGAAAGACAAATACTCATGCAATTTACATTCTTCAGAGAACACAGGTAGGTAGCAATCCCTATCAAAATAATACCAGCATTCTTCACAGAGCTATAACAAGCAATCCTAAAATTGGTATGGAACCAGAAAAGACCCCGAATAGCCAAAGCAATCTTGAAAAAGAAAACCAAAGCTGGAGGCATCATAATCCCAGACTTCAAGATGTATTACAAAGCTGTAATAATCAAGACAGTATGGTACTGGCACAAGAACAGACACTCAGATCAATGGAACAGAATAGAGAACCCAGAAATGGACTCACAAACGTATGGCTAACTAACCTTTGACAAAGCAGGAAAGAATATCCGATGGAATAAAGACAGTCTCTTCAGCAAGTGGTGCTGAGAAAACTGGACAGTGACATGCAGAAAAATGAACCTGGACCACTTTCTTACACCATATACAACGATAAACTCAAAATGGATAAAAACCTAAATGTAAGACAGGAAGCCATCAAAATCCTTGAGGAGAAAGCAGGCAAAAACCTCTTTGACCTTGGCTGCAGCAACATTTTACTCAACACGTCTCCAGAAGCAAGGAAAACAAAAGCAAAAATGAACTACTGAGACCTCATCAATATAAAAAGCTTCTGCACAGCAAAGGAAACAATCAGCAAAACTAAAAGGCAACCAACAGAATGGAAGAAAATATGTGCAAACGACATATCAGATAAAGGGTTAGTATCCAAAATCTATAAAGAACTTATCAAACTCAACACCCAAAAAACAAATAACCCAGTGAAGAAATGGGCAAAAGACATGAATAGACACTTCTCCAAAGAAGACATCCAGGTGACTGACAGGTACATTAAAAAATCCTCAACATCACTCATCATCAGGGGAATACAAATCAAAACCACAATGAGATACCACCTCCCACCTCTCAGAATGGCTAACATTAACAACTCAAGCAACAACAGTGCATAAGAGACTAGAATGTCGATTCATTTCTGCTTGCTTGTTGATCCTTATATTCCTTTATGCTGGCCTCAAATTTGTCCAGCCCATGCTGGCAGACATTCACAAACCCTGTCAAGCCTCTCTGAAGCGGCTCAACAGCTGGAAAAGCACCTCAAGTCTGAATGCATAAATTAATTTTGCTCTCTGAAGGATGGGTTGTAGTGTAACCACAAAATTCCACTTCTGGGTTCTTCATGATCATGTAACGAAGAGCATTTCTTAGGGTATGGTCCTCCTCCTTGTGCAACAAAAATGTCACACAATTGTCACACATTTCCAGGGCTGTCTTCTTCTCACCTTCAGCCACTGAGGTTCAATCCAGGAATTTTTCCCTCCAGCTCCTGGTCCTCTCCTAACATGGGGGCGGCTTCCTGAAGCCTCAGGTGGTGTAGGAGGGTCGGAGGCTCTAAGGCATACCGCAAATGGTGAGGGCAAAGCAGGAAGGAAGGAACGACCTATGCAAGGAGCCAAGGACAGAGGCAAAAATGAATAAACATTTTAAAAATAGAAGAAGATTCTCTCTCTCCCTCTGCCCCTTCCCTGCTCTCTTTCTCTCTCAAAAAAAAAAAAAAAAAAATAAGGGGCGCCTGGGTGGCGCAGTCGGTTAAGCGTCCGACTTCAGCCAGGTCACCATCTCGCAGTCCGTGAGTTCGAGCCCCGCGTTGGGCTCTGGGCTGATGGCTCAGAGCCTGGAGCCTGTTTCCGATTCTGTGTCTCCCTCTCTCTCTGCCCCTCGCCCGTTCATGCTCTGTCTCTCTCTGTCCCAAAAATAAATAAACGTTGAAAAAAAAAATTAAAAACTTAAGAAGCTGATTTAAATTGTTGTGGCATTTTTAGAATTATACCAGGTATGTCCCCAACTACATCTTTTGGGTGTGGAGCCTCGTTATTTATGTCTTTGGCAAAGAGAACACATGAAGTGAGAGCTGTGTTAGTCTGCTGGGGTGGCCACAACAAAACACCACAGACCGGGTGGCTTCAACAACAGAATGTTTTTCTCACAGTTCTGGATGCTGGGAGTGCGAGATGGACGGGTCAACAGGTTTGGTGATCTATAGTCTCTCTCCTTGGCTTGTGGATGGCTACCTTCTAGCTGTGTCCTAATGGGCCTTTTCCTCTTGGTGAGCAGTGTTGGTGTCTATTCTTCTTAAAATGCAGCCAGTTTGGGGGCGCCTGGGTGGCTCAGTCGGTTAAGCGTCCGACTTCAGCTCAGGTCATGATCTCATGGTCCATGAGTTCGAGCCCCGCGTCGGGCTCTGTGCTGACAGCTCAGAGCCTGGAGCCTGTTTCAGTCTGTGTCTCCCTCTCTCTCTGACCCTCCCCCGTTCATGCTCTGTCTCTCCCTGTCTCAAAAATAAATAAAATGTTAAAAAAAATTTTAAAAAAATGCAGCCAGTTTGAATAGGGTAGGACCCCACCTTAGTGACTTCATTTAACCTTAGTGACCTCTTTAAAAGTAGTCGCTTAGGGGTTAGGGCTCCAACATATGAAAAGTATTCTATTAATGTTTTAGTGGTAATAGAAGGCAAAGGAGTTACTAAAGTTAGATGATAGACAAAGACCATTCAACTATTTGAAAGTATCTTCCAGTTGCCAGTGGCTCACAATAACTTCTAAAAGTGACTTTTATGAAAATGCAATTTCCAAAAGGTGCATTTAGTGGTATTTACTTACAGTATCAACTGTTAATGCATTGTTTCTTTTTGTTTGTTTGTTTAAATTTACATATTTATTTTGAAAGAGACAGAGACAGTGCACATGGAGGAGGGGCATAGAGAGAAGGAGAGAGAGAGAATCCCAAGCAGGCTCCACATGGACAGCATGGGGAGTTGTAGGGTTCAAACTCACAAACTGTGAGATCATGACCTGAGCTGAAACCAAGACTTGGATGCTTAGCTGACTGAGCCACCCAGGTTCCCTTGTAAATGCATTATTTCTAAGAACTACTTAAAGAAAACAGGGTGCCTAGGTGGCTCAGTCACTTAAGTGTATGACTTCAGCTCACATCATGATCTCATGGTTTGTGAGTTTGAGCCCTGCATCAGGCTCTGCCCTGATGGTGCGGAGCCTGCTTGGAATTCTGTCTCCCTCTCTCTATGCCCCAACCCGCAAAAGAAATAAACTTTAAAAAATTCAAATACTTAAGAAAATAAAGCAAATATTACCAAGTGCTAAAACATAGAGTTTAATAAAGTAAAATACATTTCTTTCAATTGAAACTTAGTATTTTGTGATGATGGAAACAAAGGCAAGAAAA